TCTTCTGTTTTTCTTTTTCCTCAAGGAAGTTAGGCGTGTTCAGGGGCCATGGAGGAATCAGCCGGAGAAACCATTGGGCCCGTGTTTACACCACTCTATCAACACACTGGGACACCCCTGCAGAATGTGTCTCCTGGGCGCTTCACCTTCAGGTCAAGGGGCCAACAGAGGAAAGGTGTCTCCAGTGGCCCCCCCCAACCCCCACCCCACGCTACCTCATTGGAATGCTGCTGTTGCTTGGTGGACAAAGAGATCCGTATACTATGCTAAGTCTTATGAATTATACAGGCATATTGACTACGTTTGTCAGTGAAAGTAACCATTAAATACTTCCAAATGAAAGATGCCACTTGTTTCACATGTTTATTTTTGCTTCCTTCTGTTGTAATTGAATCATGCAAGAATTGATTTGTCAACAATGTAAGTAAGTAAGATTTATTTATAACGCGCTTTTCACAGACATTAGTCACAAAGTGCTTAACAGGAGCGGAATTACAAACATAAATAACACAATGTTACTATACAAGGGCCAATCATTTACAATGGGGTTGAGTGCGGTTGTCTCATTTGAACCAAAGGAATACATCAGAGTCACAAAGCAGCAATTCCATGGTTTTTAAATTCATTGAAAGTAACAGTTTTCAGGTTAAAAGCCTGAGATCTCTCTCATACCAACCCAAATATAACACTTCATGTTTAGCCAAAAACAACGGAACCCTTCAATGGTTACACAAGTTGTTTTGGTTTTCTGTCCCGTGACACAACAATTTTAACATCCCGGTGTCACGAAACGTCTCCCTGAAGAAGTGCCACGCGGTCAACTGTGCATACACAAAGCTATTCTAAAGCTACCCCCCCCTCCAGTACCGATTGTCCCAGTTCAACTGGTTTGTAGTCGACTAGCATACGCGGTGCGACAACAGACTCCACCTGGTAGCCATCACCGGCTTAAGCCACCAGACCTCTCCATGGCCTGCCAGCGCATGAAGCCTGCCTCAGAGCGGGATACCCCGGTGCATATTGTCTCCTTCATTATGGAAAATATGGAACAGTTTATTTCACTCCTATACGTGACCAGGTTTAACCGAGTTGCAGATCATTATCCATTGTATTATTTCCAAGGCAAGTCGGCTACTTGCCTTATGTGTCTCAAATGAAGGTAACACCCATCCCGTGGTCATTATACAAAGAATGAGGGGGGTTGGATTTCTATTTCAATTTAAACGGAGCTAATAATTAAACTAGTCTGTGAGTAAATAACCACCAATACCAGATCAATTTCCCAAATCTTACATTCAGAAACAACATGGTCCTTCAAATTAAATAACAATCATAAAGTGAAGTTAATGATTTAAAAATCAGGTGCAAGCACTTTAAGGAGAATATAACACATGCAATAAGCCAAAGCAAAACCATTTGTACAATTCAAACTGAGGCTCTTCTGTTGCGGGCAGAGCCGACAGGTGGAAGAGGTTACTTTTATTAAAGATTATGTAATTCAAAGTTTTGAGATAGAAGCCCTGGAATCCACTGGCTCCTGCTCTCACCTCCCCCCTTTCCTGTAATTGAACCCATGAGCGCTCCGCTGACAGCTTGGCCCCGGTGGTCACCGTTTGATTACAAAACGTTTTTCCAGTGTGTTTTAGGGAAACCTGTGAGAATGTTCTGATTAAAAAAGAAATAACTCTTTGTTTTGTCAGCCCGCACTTATCAAAGATAGATGACAGCTGCAATTAGCGCAGCGGGGTTTCGAACTCGTCTCGCGGGGTAAAGGAAAAAATCTGTTCAATGAAATGTGCGGGCTTCCAGAGGAAGTCATATAAAGAAAGGGGGCTTTGGTTAAAGCTTAGCGAATACCTCTAATGTTAAGAGGAGCCATGCATTCTTCAGACAGAGCCTGGCGAGACATAGTTAGAGGGCGAATGCTGTTTCAAGAAGCTGTTTTGAAGGGGGAAAACAGCGTGATGCTAAACATATAAAACAGCATCTGAATGACAGAGTCCAGGCCCAGAGGAAAGTGATGCCGCTGGGATGCATTGCTGGAGAGTGAGATGTGACTCACAGAGCAAAGAGAAAATCCAGGAGGCCAAATTATCCACCTTTTTCCAAAAGGAACTGATGCACATCAATGACTTCGGGTTAGGATTCAAAGGGAGGTCAGCAGGCACTACCCGCCATCAAACATGACGTTATTAACGTAACGTTACTAGTTAGAAACATTCTAACTGAGGAAATATTTAGAAAGGAGCTTAAGTGAAAATGATTAAGAAAAAATGAAGAAAACATTCAGATGTCTTTTAAAGTGAGGGACCAGTAAATGTCTTTGTTGGCAGCAGAGTTGGAACTAGTGATCATTGTAACTCAATTATATTTATCATATCACCACAACGATCCTTATCCTAACTTAATTACCTTTCTCTCTGCTAGATATTAACTTTAGAATAGAAGGGAAAGGTAAGACCGGGAGAACCTAGCCTGCGGTTAGGTTCTTGTGACTGAGCCACAGAAATATTGACCAGAACATGACGGAGAGCTGCTGTTCTTGTGTTTTTGAGAAATGTGGGTAATCTAGAGGAGGATCGCGTTCATGACCTAATGAGACAGAATTTGTCCAGCAATTAAAGACATTGCCGCAAACTAAACATGAAGGCAATTATGTTTGTATGAAGACAACAAATGGCTTATTACTCCCATATGCGTCTTACCAATCAAACAATACAGGAAACTAAAAGCAAATGTCAACATAAAACAACAAAAAAAAGAGAAGTAAATGGAAAATTGCAAAGCTGTGACCAGTTGTGAAAAAAAAATAAAAAATGTCCGGTAACATTCAAGGAGCTGGAGTTGTACAAATCCAAATGTTGAAAATCAAAGCAATAACAGACCATGTCATAACTACGTAATCATTTTGGAATTTGCGCTCCGGACCATATTTTCCGTGACACAAAGATGATGCTGAGCAGAACAATCACAACTCCACTTGTTTGCCGGACCAAGTGAGTGAAAGCAAGGGTCACCTGCCAAACATTTGGCAGCACAGACACAAAAAAGCATTGTATCATCCATGCACACTAGATATTGTTCAAAAACTTGACAGGGTACATTTGAGGCTAATACATTGGTCTTTAAAGGCTTAAACAGAGTATTCATTGCTGTGGTTTCACACTTAAAGTTCAACTTTTTTTTCTCCTCTATGAATGTGGAAACACCTGAATCCCTGCCTTTTCCAGACACTCCATTAGTGTGTATAAGAAGAAGGGGAAAGCCGTAAAGTTGAAGTAAATACTGACAGGAATGTCCTGGTCCAGCCATGTCTCAGTTAGTATTACGCACAACTCCCTGTATTTAGAGCATACTTTGACACTTCATCATGGCAGTTCATCTATTTTAGCATGGCAATGATCACACATGGCCGAGTGTCATAAAAGTCATGCATGATCTGTTGTCAATGCCGAAAGGCACACACCCATCCCCCCACAAATCCCCACCGACTAAACCTTTGGCCTGATCTCCAAAGGCATCTCCGCTAAGTTGGCAGGGCTGGCAGCTCCTCGGGGGAAGCTGGGATGAGATAGAAATTCCAGAGAATCAGAGATTCGAGAGAGCGTCTCTGATGTCTGACACTGCAAAGGTGTTCTATTCACGCCCCAGACAGGGATTGGCATGTTACTCATTTTAAAGGAGAAGATGAGCCAAAAATCAGGAAGTTTGCAAACACCGTCATTGGGCCACACAAAACGCAGCACATTCAGCGGCAGGTTGTAAATGGCGAAACACTTCCCCCGGCTGCTTTGTGTCTTCCACTATTGTAGGTGTTGTAAATTTGGCCCCGACCAACGAGCATTCAAGTGCATGTGAGTGTTTAAGAACAATTATTGTTTTATTTCCAGCTCTGGTAGGGTTGCATAAAAAAATGAAAATATTATTAATATTAATGGGGCTTTCCTTTCCCATGCTTCCCATATTTTTCTACTAAAATCATTATTAAATAGATTCTGCGGTGGTAAAGCAACATGGAAACCAATCTCAGTGTTGTGTGTGTCATAACGCAGAGAGGAAAATACAAGCAGCCTTCTGTTATTCTCCAAAGCCATACGAGTATCACCTCATTCTGTTGTTCTCCAGTGGGTAACAGTATACCAGTTTAGCTACTTAAAAAAATGCCGTGCACGTGTGATGGCAAAAACGTTAAGCCTTTACACATGTAGACAGCATACTCAGACGTTGTCCTCTCCTGAACAAATACTTTCCGCTTAATGGAAACTGCATTTTGGCCTCGTGTTATCCTGGAGATTTCACTGAGCCGTCCTCCTCGTATCAACACCCTTTTGAAATGTGAGGCTCTGTGGAAAACAAGCCTGTTTCAACATCTGCCAAAAAAAAGGGGAGCATCAATAGAACACTTAACCTACAATTAAGAGTGCTTAGTGACTTCACTCACCTCTTGGCATGTGAAGACCCAATTTAATGAAGAAAAGGTTGGCCTCGGGGATATAGTAAAATCCCTCATTAACGGGGTAATTTAGGTGTGAAGACAGGGAAGGAAATTACATACTGTTTTAAAGCCTAAAAATGTTGTAACAATGTTTTTCGTACAGCTAACTAAACGACTTTAAAAGGCAAAGTATTCGAGAGTTTGCTTTTCCGCATTGCACGAAGCGGCTTGTGCCTGGAAGCACAGAGCGTTCGGACGGTAGCCTTTGTGTTGTTTCCTCGGCTCCATATGTTGCCCCTCCAGGCAGAGGCAAAAAACACCGCCCAGTAAACCCTCAACACCTGACGGAGAGAGGAGAAACGTGGTCAAAACCCTCTGTGGAATGAGTGAAAGTAAGACGAGGGGAGGGGTAGAGGGGGGAGGAGGCAGGGGGGGGCCCTCCACCCCCCGAAGGTTGGAGAGGGTCAGCGGTGACTGGTGCACGCCGGGAGGGAAGGGGGAGGACCCTCGCACAAAAAAATATTTAAGATGTTCAGGCAGAGGAGGGCTTCACTGAGGGAAATAAGACAGAGCCTGGGAGAGCCGTTGGTTTAAAGAGGAGTTCCAACTCAACTGAGATTTCCAGCAAAAGGCCTTCTACGGGGACAGACTACTTCCAATCACAGACCGCACGCAAAAGACTCGTGAGAATCCAGAGCTTTTTTGCACAGACAATGGCAAAAGTGAATTTGATCGTAGTGGCTCTGGGGGTCACGCTGCTCCTGCTGGCAGAGACGTGGGCCCAGAATCCCAGGAAGAGGCTGGCGCCTCCGAAGCCTCCCAAGGCTCAGTGCTGCGATGACGTGCGCTCTCTCAAGGTGCAGGTGGCCAACCTGACCAGCATCCTCGAGGAGATAAGTCGCAAGCAGGAGACGGACTTGATGAGCATTATGCGGCAAGTAATGGATCTGGACAAGCAGAACCGGCAGCAGGAAGCCCGGGTGACGGAGGCCGAGAGCAAGTACTCGGAGATCAACAACCGCGTGGAGATCATGCAGCTGCAAACCCTGCAGTCTGCCACCCAGACCTCCTCAGGTGAGCATCAACGCTCTGTAGAAGCTGTTTAGCAGAGTAGGGAGTAAATGTGTGCAGATGGTTGGCGTTGCATTGCATGAATAAGGGTCCGCTTAACTGGTGATTGTTTTTGCGAAATTGAATTCACATGAAAGCAATTTACATACAGAAAGCAGACCCGGAGAGAGTCTGTAAAGTCTTCACACGTGGAGAAAAACAGATCCGTCAGTGACTCCATCGCATATTTGAGCACCCTGCCTCTTCGCTCTCTTTAGCCAGCTGTTGTCAAATACACACTCCTAGAATTATTTCCACATGTGGACAAAGACTTTAGATATGACGGAACTTAAAGTGTACCGTCCGTCTACCAACCGTCTCAGTCTTGCTTTAAATTTAAATCACTTTTAGTTTGACTGTCTTATTTCCATTCAGGAGAGCACTCATTTTGAATTGAAAAGACAAACTCTAGTAAATAACGAGCCATCATTTCAGTTGATTGAGAGTACCTAAACTTTCCAAAAACAGTCCTCAAATAGGCCAAGACACTATACATTTATTTCAGCTGTGAAGAACTATAATCAGCCTCATCCATTGCTTCGGAAAGAGTCTCAGAAAACTGCCGTGAATTGGTTGTGAGGCAGATTACAGTGCCGCTCTCTAAAGCATTCATCTGGAGCTTGAGTCCCATCTGTCAATAAAGAGCTCCCACCGAAGCCAACCATCTCCGACGTTCAGCTCAACTTTAACATGCCACTAATCAGCGCTGGCTGCCGCAGAGAGGTTAACCAGGCATGACGTACTTTATTTTATTCCAATAGCCTCAACTGTGTGGTCGAGCAGGGCCGCGTCCATGTCACTGGCAGAGGGAATACAGAGGCCTGCTCTTAAAGCTGGAGTAAATTAGAGACAGGAGGGCAGAACAGGAAGGGACGCAAAGATTAGAAGAAGCCGAAGGTTTCCATCTCTTTTCACACAGACTTTTTTTAAAGCATTGGGCTCAGTGCTCTGTAGTGATCTCATAGCCCCATTAATGGCATCGCCATACTCTGACGGGAGTGAAAGAGGAGAACTTTGCAAAAATCAGAGCCATGACTCCACTCCGTTTTGATCTATTTCGATTTTAGTTGGGGTAAAGGTCATTTTTTCATCTGCCCGATCACTCAGATATCCATAAAGCTTTTAGAATTTATGACACTGGCATTTTTAAAACTGCATATGGTTTTATCATAACTGAAGAGATTGTGGTTTTTTTTGTTCTCCAGATGCCATATATGACTGCGCATCCCTGTACAGCAAGAGCTACAAAATCTCTGGCGAGTACAAGCTGCCTAAAGATGAGTTTCTGGGGACACCTGAGCTGAGCGTAAGTTGCACTTCAGAGCTGTGTGGACCGCATGCCGTCTTTGTTTGGTGGTGCGTATTGTGAGGCATCTGCACTCTATTACATTTTGATGAATACTTTCAGGTCTTCTGCGATATGGAGACGAAAGGAGGCGGTTGGACTCTGATCCAACGGCGCAAAGTCGGCCTAACATCATTCCACCGGGACTGGAAGCAGTACAAAAACGGATTTGGATCGATCCGCGGAGACTTCTGGCTCGGCAACGACCACATCTTCCGTTTAACAAGGCAGCCCAGTGTGCTCCGGATTGAGATGGAGGTACGTGTTGGAAAACATGGCGCTCGTGTAAGCTTGGGGCCGAGATGCCAAAGAGCAAGAAAACGCGTAAAACGGTGCAGAAACCACTTCACGGCCAGAAGTAAAAGGGCCTCAACCCAATTTGTTCCTACGGGTACCGAGAGTTAGAAAATAATTAATAATTCAAACTGATATTCTCCAGGCTCTATAACCGCTCTCTAAATCAAGTCGTATATCTTTTCCCACGCAGGACTGGCAGGGAGAGACGCGCTACGCTGAGTACGGCTTTTTCACCCTGGGCAATGAGCTGAACAGCTACAAGCTCTTCCTCGCCAACTACAGTGGGAACGCCGGAGACTCGCTGCGCTACCACAACAACACCAACTTCAGCACCATCAAGAAGGACAATGACAAGTGTGTGGATGACTGTGCGTCCCTGCGCAAAGGTAAATGATGATGTTTCATTTACATTACAGGTACACATTTCCCCTCTCCCATCAACATAAAGTCTAAATTATCTTCCCCTCGTCTCCTTCCAGGTGGCTACTGGTACAACTGCTGCACTGACTCAAACTTGAACGGCGTCTTTTACCGCTACGGTCAGCACATTACGAAGAACCCAGATGGGATCACTTGGTACGGCTGGCACGGGTCCAACTACTCCCTCAAGAAAGTGGAGATGAAGGTCCGGCTGGTGGATTTTCGACCATAAGTGCTTCAGCTGTGTGCGCTGGACCGCGACGATATGCATGAATGCTGAGCGATCTCACTAAATAACCTGTTCAACCAAATTGTGGCCTTCCCTCGACTGCGAAAGGAATGAAAATGTAGTTTGTGACGGTCTGGTTACGTCTCAGTCAGATGAATGTGTCATGTTTGTTGTCATGTTTGATTGTAAATTGTAGTTAATTTTGTGTATTTATCAGTAAAAAACAAATATTTTATTTTTCAAATGCTTTAATAGATGCTCTTTTACCACTGTCCCGTAAGGGTGACTGGATTTTGATTCCTTCTCTCGTTTGTCTTGAAAGCACTAGGATGTATTTTTTAGTTAACACAAGTAACACATGTAAGGATCGTAGCAAGAATCCATCCAGAGTGGTCAGGTTCAGGTATAAATCATTAAGGACTGGTAGGAACGAATACAGAAGAGGGATCTTTGGGAGTTGCTGGAATGGGATCAACCACCGAAGGCATTTCCTATGAATTAAGCTGCCTTTTATTGTAAAACCCTAACCATTGATGATGGAAATGTGTCATTTGTAAAGTGTGTACAGCTCTGTAATTACATTGTTTTATGTGATAGAAAATAAACATATTTTTTAAACGAAACATGTCTCATGCAGGTCATCCAACATTCCTCTCTTCACAGGTTGAAATGTATCAACGTCTAACGGCAAAACAAAGTCTCGTGTCCATTCGTGTCCAGTAATAGCAACACATTTGCCTCTGACCCTTCGGTCATCTGCTGACATATTGCCCAAAGGTCCCAGTGCACCTTAGCTAAACGCAGGAATGAAGATCACACACACACACTCTGTTCTGCCAGCGAGTTGAATGCCTCTAGCTTTACTACCTTGAAAACAATAATGCCCTTTTGCTACGCTCTGAAACAACGAATTCCTTTGAGCATTTAAATACCTTACAGCCAGGGAGCACTGCCTATACGGGCTCGGTGGAAGGCTTCGTGAAAATTCTCTTCCTTTAACAAGGTGAGACAGTCGGGGGTAAACATCTAATTAAAGCTGGACGTTTATCTCTACCCTTAGAAGGAAATGACCACAGGGGAATGAAGGACAGGACCTTTGGATGGTGACAAATGACCTACTCTTTCTATTCTAGTGTTTAAAAGTATTCAAACTTGTGACCCCAACAACAAAAGCAGACCTTGAACCGTGGTGGACGGTGTAAAGGCAACGCACTGCACGACGCACTGAGGAAACCACGCTGCTGCAAAGGGAAGTTATGGTTACTTTTCCTGGAGAGTTAAACTTCGGCGAATAGGGCGGCCAAGAGTTGCAGTTATTATTTGATGAAGATAAGTGTAAACTAAGGTGAATGTGACTTGACCTCTGGGTATTAAACCCAAAAAATTGTGTGGAAATGGATTGTACTAAGGGTTATCCAAATATTGTAGGAAACACATTGGATTTATTGTGTGTATTTAAAAATTGGTTCATGTGATTCCAGTATCTTATGTTCACCTCACTTTCACCTGGAACATAGATTTTATATAAAGGGTTAATATGGTGGAAGATAGTACGGCTTCAACTTATGGGTAAAACTATAGGCTACATTTTGAGATGTTGTTGAACTGTTGTATTCCTGCTATTAACATAAATATATAACCCTATACACATTATTATACGTATAAGGTGAATGAGGTGTTCTTTCACCCTGTCAGGTGTAATCCACACATCCGAAGGGAAACCAAGGCAGCACATTGCACTAGACTGTACAAGTGTTCCTGCTATTGTGTCCACCCCGGTCTACTCATACATTGAGTCCAACTGACACTTGAGTAGTCCAATAAATGAATACACAAGCTGGTATGAACTGAGATTTTGCTGAACAGTTTGCAGCCATCTCTACAGCTGAATAAACTACACACATACTAAACTTTCCATTTTCCATTTCTAAGCATTTCCATTATGGCTACCCATGTATTATTAACACATGGTCCAGCTTCATCAGCCACCGTGATGATGGAGCCACCAAAGTCATAGTTTCTCTGTAAGTGAAGGAGCACGGATCTATTACAGACCTTTATATTCTCTATCATGCAGCTTCCGCCCCATCATTGCCGTCTACCAGAGACTGTCAAATTGTACAAAATGTAATAAAAACAGAAACAAATTACTTATCCAAGTCAATTGAAAGAGCCTTTATGATGTACCATAACACCATAGGCCAAATGCTCAATTAACAATGTTCCTCTGTTGTTGGGATAAATGGGGAAAATGTGAGCGGCTTCCTGGCTCCGTCCACAGCTACGTGGGCCTGCGAATGTAGTTAGACCACAAACTAATTATTTTGACTTTCTTAAAATCCTTCACACATTATTTATACCAGTTCCAGCTCATAAAATGTGTTCTATTATGAGTGTGTCACCTATTCAGATTGAATTCCCTGAATTTTAACTGAAGGTCCATTTGCGACTATAAAAAAACAATCCCTGACCTACTCGCCCACTCATCTACAAACACGGTGACTCGTCAGGTGCTGAAATAGCAGTGACGATGCCTCCCCGTCATCAAAAAGTGGGCATCAGTTATGAAGGTTTTTGTTTTCTTTCTCTCTGAATAGGGCGGCAACTCAGTAGAGCCAGCTTTACATTGTGCTTTTTTTTTTTTTGCACACCAGCCTCTGGATCTTTTTCTGGGAAATCCTGGAGAGGTGAGAACCAGATGGGGATATTGAAAACACCAGAGTGCCGGCTCCCATCATTCATCATCATCAAGGCTCCTGAGAAATTGAAAACAGGCCCCTGAGAAACAAGTCCAGACACTCGTAGATGAAAAGGAGGCAAGTGTCCAATTAGATGCCTGGAAAACAGATTTTTCCCCGCCGTGCCAAAGGCATAGAAATAAAGAAGGATGAGAAAAAAGGGGATGGAAAAGATGACAGAGGATATCAAAGGCTTAAGGGAAGATATGTGCAATATCATTTTATGTGTATTTATTGGAATAAAAATTGACTTTGAGGGAACGGTTTGTCTTTAAGCAATAACTTGTAATGCAGTAACTGTTTATCACAGGGACACCTGTCAAACCTAGTTTTTGTGACTAGGATGAATCTCCACCAGAGGGAAGAGACCTCCCACCGACACCGATTTATGTTATGATCTCAAAGTTACCGAGAAATGAAGTCCTAACTTTGAAGAAGCTACATATTCCTTATAACTTTAATGAAAATAAAACTGTTAAACTGTGAACCAAAGGAGAACTTACACAAAACCAAACAATGAGTTAGGCTGGAAAAGAAATACACTCATTTCTTATTTGCCCTTTTCATGTAAAGAACAGCTTGCTGTTGTCATTCAAATACTGTGACGAGGACTGCGCTCATCTTCCCACAGTTTTATAAAAGCCATGCTTTTTTTCTCATAAAAATAAAAGGAAGGTTTTCAGACCACCTACCTGATAAGAGCCTCCAGGATGAGAGGAGAAGCCCCTTTCTGAAACTCCAGCTCTTTGTAGTGCAGAGCCTTGGCGTAGGCGCGACACTTGGCAGCTCTCTCGCCAAGCAGCACGATGCCGTTATCGTCTCTGAGGGGCAGAGGGCCCTGGACAAAGGAAACAAAAGTGTGTGAAATAAGTTATTTCCTAAATATAATGAAACTAAATAAAATCTGCTGTCCTCCTTCTGCATTTAGTCGGGTTTGAACTTGTTATTTAACTGTACACTATATTTAAACATACGCTATGATGTGAAGGAATGAAATAAGGAAGCTTTATGTAGTTATTGAGTTTAAGTTGGTGTGGTAACCTAGAGAAAACATCTTATGCCCCTCTTTCCACCGGAAACAGACACTTTATGTCTGTTTCTACTGCAGCCTCCCAGCAGGGGGTGACCCTGCTGAAATAATATATTATGACCCGGCCATGACGGTTCTCTGCCCTCAACGCAACGGCTTCGTCACTAATTAGCTCAACATGTGCGGTCAAACAGAGGGCTCTCGTGAAAGGGTTTCTCTGTTCACTGTGGTTTTAAGTGTTATCGCCTCCTGTTTGTATTTTTAATCACAATGACAGCAGTCAGAATGGTTTCTGCTCAGCTCTCCTCTTGCGACTTTTTGAATTATTACCAAGAAGGATAATGTGGTGCCGTTTTGGGCCCATTTCAAACCTCCAACACACAATCCATTTAAACAACACCTAGCACTGAAAACCACAGTTCGTAGGTTTCCTGACTTGCGGTGAACTGTGGCAACGGTGTCTGCACAGAATACGAGGGCAAACGAGGAGACTTGGTTTCTCTTGTTTTTTTAGCATTGGTAAGTTTCCTGAGCGCCTCTCTGCAGGTTCTGTTATTTGCGGTCATACACTGTTTTTTGTTTTGTTTTGCATCCGACGCACCGTTCGGAATTTTCCGGCAGATGCGTAAATTCAAAACACTGAATGCTTTCACGCGCAACTTAGTGTGAAGATACATTGATGACAAAGAAAAACCTTTAAGTGATCAGAGCCAAGTGAACCATCATCGTTGTTTCCACTCAGACAACACTAAAACAGATGAGGTGTAATTGCTGCTGCGCTGCCAGCTGGAGAGCCGGTACGGTACAGCTAATTTCAAATCAGGTAGTGCATGTAATGTCATGCACATCCACTTGGCATGGACGTTTCGTTCCACAAAGGGGCTGGACAGTTTGTATATATGTATAAAAGCTTAAAAAGGGACCAGTTCTAGCTGAGTCATGGATAGAATAAATAACATCTTACCCTTGTAGATTTATGGTGAGCGGTTTGACATTCAATGAGACAGGAAAAGCTTTTTATACCACCACTTTAAAATGCACGACGTAATATCAAAACTTGAATTTTGAAAACAACTTAAGATATCGACCTGCAAGCTCTCTAATAAAACCAGAGGTGTGCTTCAGCCTGAACTACATCACGGTGATGCTGTGGGTTAAAGTAGCTGCTGCGATTCGATGCTAACCTTGTCGCTGTGCTCCATGAACTCCGCCAGGTTGAGCAGAGTCTGCGTGACCTCCGCGATGTCCTGGGAGGTGAGGGCCAGCTCGATGCTGCGGATGAGCTCGTCCTGCTGGTCCTCGCTCAGCTCGGACCAACAAGACAGGAAGGCCGCGTTGAACAGGTCCCTGTGGACCCAAGGAAACAGCAAAAACACATTCAAAATATGATATTTTGCAAGAACGGTGCCTTAACTGAATTTGGGGGAACGGCAAATCGATAAGTAGCGAGATTAGCTTGCTTGCATTAGCATGGCGATTATGCGATTGTTTTTAGCTGTTGCGGACTATCATGCATGTGGAACGTTAAAAAAAGAAAAATGAAGGAGAAATAAAGGGAGGAGGAAGTGAGCTAGAGCGGTAGACCCAACCTGGCGAGAGGGATGTAGGTTTGGGCCAGAGACCAGCATGATCGCAGGGCTGGAGACGACGACTCCTTGAGCAGGACCACACTCAAACGCCTCAGCCACTCAAGCCAATCGTCTTTGGACACCTTCCTGGCAGCACCCCAAGCCTGTGAAGAGACAGAAATCCTCCATCTCAGCATTCACTGGGAACTACGTGGGTAGTGACACAGGTAATGTGTGCGTGTGTGTGAGCTCATCTGGCTGAGATGGACACATAAATCATTGTTACTGCTTGCGGTGAAACGTTCTTAAAGAATGAAACGGCGTTCTTCCAAAAGATTGCCTCATTTTGAGCGTTTTGATGATGATGGTGGTGGAGAGCCTTGTTGATAACTAGTGACCGTGAAGGCCACAGCATATGATTCACATCACTTTCATATTCATCGAAGCATTCAGTCAGCCCTTGCGTGGGAGCATCTGTGTTCATTGTGTTTCTCCGCTCATTTGTTTGGGTTTGGGTTTTTCATTCATCACTTCTCTGTTGGTCCGTATGTAAACAATCTGCTTGTCCACAAGGCTGCTTCCTGTACACAACCGCAATACAGTCAACAACCACGCCGGTGGAAATCAGCACTGGACATGTGTGTGTTACCCTTCAGCATGAAAGCACCAATGTCAATCACCCCCCTCTGACCTTCTGAAGTGCAGTGGTGCTGACGTGAAGCTTCTTCATAGGCCCCGCCTCCACCGGCCCACTGACCAGAGTGTCGCCTTGGTTGCTACGAAGCTGGCGATTTTGGAAGATTAGAGGGTCCTCTTCCTCCTCGGCCAGAGTATAGCCCTATAATGTAGACACACACACACACACACACACACACACACACACACACACACACACA